ACTAAATTACCCTTGAGTGTAGAGCTTTATGGCAATTCTCATGGTTTCCATAGTGTCCAAAGCTTGAGTCCTCCACTTGCTCTTTGCCTTAGAACTGACATCCACCACAGTCACCCTGGGGTTCTCCATGCACAGCTGGTAGAGGACAAGACAAGTCGTGTGGTTAAAGAGATGATGCCTTATCCAACTGAATTCTACTGTGCCATCTCTATGGTCAGGAGTTACTTTAATTTTGTGAAAGATTCTGGCACAAAAAGCCTGAATAGCTTTAAATCTCTCCACCACAAACCCCAGTGTTGGGAACTGGCAGCTGCCGTTACTGATCGGCTGCTCTGCCACCATCTCGGGAAAAATCTTCTGAAGCTGCAGGGTCTGGAATCTGGTGAAGGCAGTTCTAGTCCTAATGTCCAGCTCCTGCTTCATGTCCACAGCATCGCTCACTCTCTTATTAGGTTTTCAGAGGCTGAGGGCTCTGTGGTGATCTCAGAGAAACTGGCTCTCAAAACCTGCAGACTGGGACTCACAGACTTGTATACTTGGATAATCTCAAAACCAATATTTTCACCTTCTCTAACACAGTTGGTCCAGATCACGATTGCCTGACACTGCTGAGTCTCTTGTTCCAGAGTTTTCTTGATGTGTACAAAGTTCTTTGGGCAGTACTTTTCAATTTCTGCTTCAAAGAGGGCAAGAGGATTGCAGCTCTGCCATTTACAAAACTGCATGTGGAAATCATGAGCCAGCAAATGTTCAGAAACCCAAGTCATTATTATGGTAACATCTGACCATACAAGTGATAATTAAATTCATAGATCTTGTTGAATTTAGAAAGTCCTCTCAGCTTTATGCAACCCTAGGACAGCAGGTCAGTGATCCCCTTGGCTGTGTCAGTTTTCTTCACCACCCAGAGGACTTTCCGCATGTCTCAGAAGGCCACCTCCATGGTGGATGTGGAAAAGATACAGGCCCTGAGCTGATGCAGACACCGGACTGTGCAGCGGGTGTCAGGTTAATATCATCCCGGGTGCCTATGCTGGGGACTCAGAGGTCAGGGCCACTCCACACCTACCCTAAGGGAACTAGAGCCTCAGGAAGCCATCAGTACCCACAAACTATTGGACTTCAGAGCTGTGTCATATAGCCTTCTATTTTTACTTTTAAAAAATATATGTTTTTTAAATATTTTTTTATTGATTTCAGAGGAGAGAGAGAGAGAGAGAGAAAGATCAATGATGAGAGAGAGAATCATTGATTGTCTGCCTCCTGCACACCCCCTACCGGGGATCGAGCTGGCAACCTGGGCATCTACCCTGACTGGGAATTGAACTGTCACCTCCTGGTTCATAGGTCGAGGCTTAACCACTGAGCAACACTGATGGGCTATTTTTCTTTTAATTTAACCTCTTTTTCTTTAACATATTTACTCTAAAATTGTATACCATCACTGTATAAGTTATTTGGGCCTACTGCCATTCTTGGCAAGCTTCAGTTTGAGATTCATTAACTTATTAAAGTTCAGGTATTTATCAGGAATCATACAGTAATGAATGACAAAGTTATTAAAAATACATATATTTTTTTCTCTCCCCTTTAGAGCAATAGTTATCTTTAATTCAGTGGTTCTCAACTCTGCACATTGGAGTCACCTAGGGAAATTTAAAAATGAAAATATCTATGCCTCACCCTTGATCCAATTAAATCACTATCTCTGGTGTATGCCTGGACATTAGTATATTTAAACATTTCCTCTGTGGTTATACTGGGCAGTTGAAATTGAAAACTACTGCTTTTTAAAGTGTTGCTTTTTGGCAAGTGATTTCTGAACTCTCCTGAATCTAAATATTATATTTAAACTTTTAGGGAAGAGGTCTGATTGATAGCAGGAGATTCTTATCCAGCAAGTTTAGGAACTAGATATGGGTGATGCCTGTTTGTAAGAGGTTGAGCACTTAGATGCTTGCAATATGAGCTTACTTTGAAAGCCTCCTTAGTTTTCACATATCAAGATTAGACCTAGTTCTTTTAGTGAGAAGGAGAAGGTTTGGATAGTTATCTATAATAATAAAAGCCTAATATGATAATTAGACCAGACGTCCTTCTGGACGAAGCCAGGGCTGCCTGGGTCCCGGGTGCCTGCCAACCACTGGAGTGAAGCCTGGGTCCCAGTGCCAGAGGGAAGCCTGTGCCAGCAACTGGGGGAAGGAAGGCGTACTCTTACACAAATTTTGTGCATCGGACCTCTAGTTATATAATAAACCCTTGATTTTGAGGACCTCTATTTAATATAATTAGGATTTAACAGTTAAAATTTCTACTCCATATGTAATTTTAAAATGCTTTTAACCAAGATTTGCTTATAACTAAATTAACAGGTTATTTTTTATTATTCAGTTATGTTTAAAAAAGATTTTTAATTGATTTTTATTTTTTTATTAATCCTCACCCAAGGATATTTTTTCCATTGATTTTTAGAGAGAGTGGAAGGGAGGGAGGCATGGGGGGGGGGGGAGAGAGAGAGAGAGAGAGAGAGAGAGAGAGAGAGAGAGAGAGAAAGAAATATCGATGTAAGGGAGACATATAAGTTGGTTGCCTCCCGAATTTGCCTTGACTGGGGTAGGATCTAACCTGCAACCCAAATATGTGCCCTTGAACATCATTCGAACCTGTGGCCCTTCAGTGCACGGGGTCAGCACTCTAACCATTTAGCTACACTGGCTAGGGCTGCACTGTTATATTTAACAAATTTTAGTGAATAGGCCATATGTTGGAAAAAACACTTTAGTAATTTCACTGACATAAGTAAACATTACATATCTATAGCTATAGTCTACATACTTTAATCCAAGTGTTACCGCTAGTAAACAGTGTTCAGCCAGTGATTAGCACATGATCACACCGCATCTCCTTTGGTAGTTTCTTCTGTTGTTGGTTCTATTGTTACATGGGGTGACTTTCTGCAGCAGATTTAACATGTGCCAGGCCGATGTTCCTGCGTGCACTAAGCCACACCCCAGCCGTGTGCATTTGTTTACTTGTGGTGACTGGTAAATGCAAGCATTTACTAGACGTATTCAGTATAAATTTAAAATTATAGTAGTACATAAAGAAAAATTTTCTGCAAAATTAAACTTTTCATATATACTTAATTTTAATTATACAAATGTATCTACATAAGTAAAAACAGGCAAACTAATTTTTCAGTTTTTTAACATATGCATTTGGAAAACCTACTTTATTATATATGTACTTTTAGCTTTAACGGGTAATCCTTCATTCGAATTAGTCTGTTATATCAAGGTTTTACTGTAGTGCTAACTCACTGCATTTTAAAAAGAAGAATAAAAAGGAGACAGATGCTAGGGTGCTGGCTAAGGACAAAGATAATAAAAATTCATTGTCTTTATTATTGAGTCCTGTTTTAGTTAGATGGAAGCAAGTTTTACTTTAAAAGTTTAACTTTTTTAAAAGCATAGTATGTATTTTGATAGCCATAGGTTGTTTCATAGCATAAGAAAATAGCAGGTGTCTACTTTACTGAGAGAACTTTATCTTTTCCCTTGCCAATTATAAATTTTTATGGAAAAATATTCAATTATAGAGCATATGAGTATAAATATGGCATAAAGGCTACAGAGTCTTAATATTTTAAGATTTAACATAATTTTGATTGGCAGCAATTATATAGAATGTTTTTTATTTTTTAAATTTTAATTATTTCAGAGAGGAAGGGAGAGGGGGAGAGAGAGATAGAAACATCAGTGATGAGAGAGAATCACTGATTGGCTGCCTCCTGCACAGCCCCCACTGGGGATTGAGCCTGCAACCTGGTCATGTGCCCTGACTGGGAATCGATTCTTGACCTCCTGGTTAATAAGTCAACGCTCAACCACTGAACCATGCTGGTCGAGCTGTTTTAAATTTTTTAATGTTGCTGAAGCATATGCATTTATTTTGAGTTTTGAGGCTGGTGTGTCAGAGCATTCTTAGTGTATAAGCCTTTCCAAATGTCCTGCATTCTTATCTCCATGCAGAAATTTTTTTTCTATACTACCAGCACTTGTGCAGCAATTCCTTTGAAATTAATACAAACTTTTATTTTTTTAATGGAACTACCCTCCCTCCCCATCCCAAGAGAAAGTAACTATTATTTCTGGTGGTATTAGAAAGAATAATGAATTTGAGTTCTGATTTAGTTCCAGGTGTAATTTCTCTTTTACTTTTAACTGGGTGGCAATTTTAGAGTTAGTGAATGAAGATCCCCCAATATATTTTTAAAAAATTATTTGCTCTATTTTATTTAGAAATATTGTACCATTTTGAGGACTTTGGAATGCTTTGTGTTCTCTTTAATACCCAATGTAAGAAGTAAATTGTGGTGGTTCATAAATACGAAAAAACAGTAGTAATGATTAAAAATACTGTCTATCCCAGCCAGTGTGGCTCAGTTGGTTGAGCATGGTCCTGTATACCAGGAAGTTGCCGGTTTGATTTCCCTTCATGGCACATGCAGGGGTTTCAGGCTTGATCCCCATTAGGGGCATGCAGGAGGTAGCCATTCAGTGTTGCTCTCTGATCATGTATCTATATCTTCATCTCCCTCTCTCTGAAATCAGTAAAAACATATTTAAAAAATATTGTGGAATATGCCTATGCTCTGAGTGTCTTAATTTTTAACTTTCACTTTGTTATGTTAAGTTCTTCAAGAGATTCCAATACTTATGTCCAAACAAGACCTTTTGGTTCACTGTATTTTTTAAAAGAGCAAGAAAGTCAGAAAATGTGATGTTTAATTACAATTTTATGGGATTCATCATAATTTATGTGGTTAAAATTGAGTTGGATCATGAAAATTATGATATTGTACTAATATTGGTGGAAAATAAAACATTTGAAAGCTAGGTGGCGGTAGTGATGGTCGTGCATGTGTTTATACATATATATGTATATATATGTGTGTGTGTATATATATATTATATATGATTTTTTTTTATTTTTTAAAGTTACATAGCAAACTTCTGGAGACAGAACGCCAACTAGGGGAAGCTCATGGAAGGCTGAAGGAGCAGAGACAGCTTTCAAGTGAGAAGTTGATGGATAAAGAACAGCAAGTAGCTGATTTACAACTCAAACTTTCTCGTTTAGAAGAAGAGGTAAGCTAGCATTTCAGATAAGTTTATGTTAGCAAATTTGTTGATAGAGTTGAGGTATCTTGAATATTGTTATGATTCATTCTTTTCAATAAATGATAATTATGATTGTAGAAAAAATAAAACAAATATTGATACCATGGCTTAGATTATTGTTAGAAGAAATTTTTATGTAATTCCTTGATCACATTCGAATACAAGACACAGTAATAAAATAAATGGGATCCTGGAGAAAGAATTGAATTCTTCTCAGGATGACAGTCTGTTCTAGGGAATAGTTTCTTAATCATGATATTCTATAAGCAATGAGATACTGCATATAAGGTTGATTTTATTATATATTGTCTGAATTTAGTTTTTTCTTCAGACTAGGGAATTGTGAGATGTGAAGTAATACCTGATATTTATGATTGATAACATTATGCCTCTAAGTTGTCATCTGACAGTCTACATTTTTTAAGTTAAAGGAAAATGTAACAAATTCCACAGAACTGCAGCATCAATTAGAGAAAACAAAGCAACAGCATCAAGAACAACAAGCTCTTCAGCAAAGCACTACAGCAAAACTTCGAGAAGCTCAGGTAACTATTATTTGAATTATTAGCCTTTTAAAAAAAAATAGCCAAAACTTTGTTTTGCTAAAACGAGATAATGCAAAATACTTGATTATGAAGGATTTTGATAATTTTTATTACCTGGATAATCAGAAAATCTTTTTATTGCTATGTTGAAATTTTCTCTAAAATATTTTAAAATTATTTATTATAAGTAAATTTATTTCTTTAAAAATCTTTAGTTATTTAATTTCTTTATTAACTGAATGTATATTAAACTTATTTATTTAAATAAAGTGTATATTATTTAAATTATTTTTATACCTAATGTATTATTATTTAGTATTGCTATTATTATTTATTTATTTTTCAATTACTTGTGACATGCAATATTATATTAGTTTCAGGTGTATTATTTAAATAACTTATTTGAAAAATAAAAAAAATACGAATAAAATTTCTTGATTTAGTTAGCCCAGTAAAAAGTAACATTTTGTGTTTTCTATGGGAGAACATAGTGTTTGTTGGTCATGTCTTTTCCTGCTTCAGAACTAGCATATGAACATTGGCATTTTTGATATAGAAAATATAAGTGGTTAAATTTATACAGATTCTACAGAATAGCTTAGAAAATTAAAAGAAGTTACATTTTTGTTTTGTTATGGTGAGGGGAAGAGGGTGCCCAGATATTTGAAATGAATTCAACTTTAACACTCACTTCCTTCACTCTTTCATTAATTCAATGAATATTATTGAGCCCTGTATGTTAGGTCCTGTGGTACTCACTGAGAATAAAGAGATGAGTAAGACACAGTGCTGCCTCCTGGGAAATGGCAATCTAATGCTATGTACACATAATATATATTTTTTAAATATATTTTTATTGATTTCAAAGAGGGAGAGAAAAAGATAGAAACATCAATGAAGAGAGAGTATCATTGATTGGCTGCCTCCTGCATGCTCCTTACTGGGGATCGAGTCCACAACCTGAGCATGTGCCCTGACCAGGAATTGAACAGTGACCTCTTGGTTCATAGGCCGGTGCTCAACTACTGAGCCACGCTGGCTGGGCACAAAATATTTTTAAAAATAATATTAGGGGACCCTCATTCACTAACTCTGAAATTGCCACCCAGTTTAAAGAAGGCAGTAAGCAATGTGCCTGTCTTTCCTTTCTGAATTTGCAGAGTGGCTGGGGAGTCACAGGGACAGGAATCAAAATACTGTATTCATTTATTTGTTCTTTCATTCACTCTGTCAACAAATACATGTTAATGCCTGCTCTTAGCCAAGGAATTGATTTTGTAGATATGACAGTGAAGAAAACAGATAAAACTGTCGGCTCTCATGGATATAAGTGAGGGACAAATAATAGCCAAAGTAAACAGGCAAAATATACAGTGTATTAAATGTTGATAAGTGCTAGAGATGAAAAAGGGATAGGGAGCTGGAAGTCAATGACTGCAATGTTAGCATGCCAAGGAAGGCCCATCTGAGTTGAGAATCCTGAAGGAAGGAGGTTGTGAGCCATGTGGATATCAGAGAGAAGAACATCAGTATATTAAAAAGCTCTGAGGCAGGAGCATATCTAAGGAACTTTAGGAAGCCAGTGGTTGGAGTGGTGTGAATGATAAGACATATTAAAATGGACACAGAGAAATCATAGAGGGTCAGAACATGTCGAGCCCTTTAGGTAATTTTAAGAATTTTACTCTTAAGTGAGATGAGAAATCATTGGAGGGTTCTGAGCAAAGGAGTAACATGATCTGACATATTATTTCATAGGATTACTCTGGCTGCTGTTTTGAGAGTAGATAGTAGGGGCGCACTAGTAGAAGCAAAGAAATTAGCTAAGCAACTACTACAGTGATCCAGATAAGAAATGATATAAGTTGTACATAATGTTATTAACCAGGGTCACCCCAATAAATTAAATAAAAGTTCAAAAAATAAATGAGTAGAGGAAGAACAGCCCAAAGAGAGAATGATCAGAGGGCCTACAGAATGGAAGCTAAAGGACTTCAAAGCTGGGTGTGTGGAAGTAAATTTGTGACCTTGTCAAATGTAATTTAAATAAAGTGAAGTAGTTGAAAGTCTGATTTTTGATTGATGAGTAAATGAGAAATGAGGGAGTTAGGAAAGTAAATATGTATTACGTTTGAAATTTAAGTGTGAATTGTATGAAGACTGAGCCAGAGCCTGGAGGGAGGGCTTGGTTCAGGAAGTGTTTGTGAGAATGAGAGATATCTGAACATGTTTATAATCTAGGACAAACAAACTGATGGAAAGGGAGTAATTGAGGATGTTGGAGGAGAGGTGACTGAAAAAATAAGGTATTGAGAAAAAGCTATGATGTCACTGATACAGTAAATTTGAATTTATCCTTACCCTTTATGGTAAGGATATTCCTGAATATCCCCCCCCCCCACCCCACCCTTTGGATAAAGTTGGGATAATAGCTGAGTGTCAAGCAGGCAGAAACTAAGAATTTGAGAGAATATTGAAGCTTTTACATAGTTATTGAGGGAAATGTTTGAAGGTGAGAACCTCATTAAGTGAAATGATAGGATGATTCTGAGTATGTGATGGAGATTGATTGAAGTCTAGAAATTTGTAGTGGCACCAATCTGTGGAATTTTGTGATTTTGCTCTAACAGTGTTTAGAAAGGTAAGGATGAAGGAAGCAGATTGCAATATTAATCTAGGATTGGGCTTTCTTGGGGGTGGCTGTATTGGAAATTTGAGGGTAAAGAAATGGAGAATGGGGTTGAAAGAAGAGTTAAGGTTAGTTCATATCCATATGCAAGGTTCAGGAAGAGAAGTTAAACTTATGCTAAAAAGGCTAAAAAAATAGAGATGAATGTCTTTTTGACACTGAAGAGCAGAAATGAGGTCGTGAAATTGGAAGATGGTCAGGAAGTTGTGGTCACAGAGTAGGATAGATGAAATTTTTCATCTGGAACAATTTCAGGTGATTACAAGATTCTACATGTGAGTGATTGAATAGAATGAGTAAAGATATAGTAATTAAGGTGACATGAATGTTGAAGCTGTGCTTTTAATTCTCTATGTATTTTGTATTTCCCAGGAAATTGGCAGAAATTGGGATTGAGAGAAAGACTAAATCAGGTCTCAAGTCTTCAGTGAATGAGGTAGGGATTTATAGATGATAGCAACACAGAATAGAAGGTAGAATAAATGAATTACTTACTCTCCAAAGCAGCATGAAACTTTTACATAAGGGAGAGAGCAGTGGTGGTGAAAAAACCAGGAAAGGGTCAACTTCCCTGCTTTCCTAGAGGAATGGGCCTTAGTATAAGAAAGGATTGAGGGGGAATCAGAGTCTGTAAAGAGAAAACCACATATCAATTACTCCTTGGCAATAGAGTGACTGGAAAAAAGCTTAGGCCTGTGCTTCTAGATTAGGGGAATGTGGAAAGAGGGGTCATTAGTGGCAGAAAAGAGGATGAGAGCAGAGAAGAGGTCAGGTTGCCTTTCCTCATTAAGTGATTGAAGTTTAGAGGGATGAGAAGTATGTTTAAAAGTGACTAATTCAAATATTTTAATATTGGTATAAATTGTTGATACGAGGTGGTTGCTGGCTCTGTCTCACACAGTGGTGGGGGCTATGACAGGACTGGCAGAGGAACATGTTAGGGCCTTGTTCTGGGTAGAGGCTCTCTGACTCTTAAAACGATTGAGGCTGTGGGTCAGACAGCTTGAAAACGTTAATGGGCATTGTTCTAGATATGGGCTCTTGCACTGTGCTCTGTGTAACATTACTTTGGTAACGTGGAAGAGAGACCCCTTCTTGTATTTATAGAAGAGTCCTTTTGAGGTATTGAAGTGAGTCTTGAGTGTCTGCGTGTTAGAATGGAGTCATTTATTTTTCTGTTTGATCAACAAGGATCTTAGAGCATATGTGTCTTAGATAATGAATAAAACAGACCAAAATCATCATTTTTGTGGAGCATATATTTTAGTGAGGAGGTGGAGGGAAGCAGGTAAGCATGAAAAATAAATAAATTATTTAGTGTTAGAAGATAAGTGCTTTGGGAAGAAAATAAAATATTCAGGAGAGAGGATATTGGGAAAGACTACAATTTTAAGTGTAGTGGTCATGGTAGGCCTACTGAGAAGGTGACATTTGAACAAACATTTGAAGAAGAGAAAATGAGCCAGGACTGTGAGCAGTGTATATTCCAGGTAGAAGAAAAAATTAATGCAAAGGTTCTGAGATGGGAGTGTGCCTGGCGTGATTAGGAATAATGAGGAGTCCCATGTGTCTCAAATGATTGAGCAAGAGTAGTAGGTGGTGAGGTCCGAGTGTTACAGGAAGAATGTGGTTCATTGAAGATTTGTTTTTTTGTTGTTAAATTCTAGTTTATTATCAGTATATATTTACATTAAATATATAGTATTATTTAATTACATTTGCCAGGTTAAAATGATTAGTAAAAAAATTAAGACTAAGTGTTTGAATTATTAAATATATTATCAATTATTTTATGTTTAAGGAATAACTTTTTAAGTTCTCTGTCCTTAAGGTTAGTTTTCAATTCTTTACAGAATGATTTGGAACAAGTACTACGTCAAATTGGTGATAAGGATCAAAAGATCCAGAACCTTGAAGCCTTATTACAGAAGAGTAAAGAAAATACTTCCTTACTAGAAAAGGAAAGAGAAGATCTTTATGCAAAAATTCAGGCTGGTGAAGGAGAGACTGCTGTTCTTAACCAGTTACAAGAAAAAAACCATACATTGCAGGAACAAGTAAGCTTGTCAGATCTATTCTTTTTCTAAAATTCACTGTTATCTCTCTAAATCTTATGAAATTCTTTACTTAAATGATTCTTCATTATGGTTATTTTTAGTACTTTTTATACTATATATTTTGACAAATGCCATATAATTTACCTTAGAGGTAGGTTGCCATTTTAGTGAAATTAAGTTAACATGATTTGAGAAAGGAAACCTCAGTTCATGTCCCAGGATATAACTTATTACCTATATGAACATAAGCAAATCATTTCACCTTGTTAGCTCATTTGAAAATTAGAGATGTTATTAATAATTATACTTGCCTTATGGAATTTTATGCTTTGAAAAAACAATGATTAACAAAATTCTATATAATAATAGACAAACATGGTAATTGACCATACCTTCGCTACGCCTCCCACTGGCTAATCAGCGAGATATGCAAATTAACCACCAACAAAGATGGCAGCTAATATGCATACTGCGGGCAGGGCGAGCCAGCGTGAGCCGCCATCCGGGCCCCTGTGTGCTGCCTAAGCCCCATCCCCAGCTGGGACCCCCGTGTGCGGCCCTGGGTGGTGGGACCCTGCGACTGTGATCGTGATCGGAAACCAGGCCACAGGCAAGGCGGGACCCCGGGACCCAGGAGCCACCTTGCCTACGGCCTGTGATCGTGATCAGAAAGCCGGGCCACAGGCAAGGTGGCACCCCGGGACCCAGGAGCCGCCTTGCCTGCGGCCCGTGATCGTGATTGGAAAGCCGGGCTGCAGGCAAGGCGGCACCCCGGGACCCAGGAGTCACCTTGCCTGCGGCCCGTGATCGTGATCGGAAATCCAAGCTGCAGGCAAGGCGGCCCCCTGGAACCCAGGAGCCCGTCAGTGAAGTCTGCAGGTGAAGCAGCGATCAAGCTATGAGGGGGACAGTGGAGGGTGGAAGGAGCTACAGGAGCAGCTCTGGCCGGAGACTGAAGACTCCCGCCGGAGCGAGGAGCAAAGACTGAAGGCTCCAGCCGCAGTGAAGACTGTGTCCAGAGTGAAGATGGAAGGCGGTGGCCAGGGTGAAGGTCTGGGTCTCGGGTGCCAGAGGAAAACTAGTGCTGGCAGCCAGGGGAAAGAAGGCCTATTGCATGAATCTCTTCGTGCAACAGGCCTCTAGTCTATATAATAAAAGCCTAAGAGACCATTAAGGCAGAACAACCAGAATGACCGGTTGCTATGATGCATACTGACCATCAAGGTCAGTGCACTCCCACAGGGGGTGCACCGCTCAGCCAGAAGCCAGGCTTACGGCTGGCGAGCGCAGTGGTGGTGACTGGAGCCTCTCCCGTGTCTGCGGCATATATATATATATATATATATATATATATGTATATATATATATATATACACACACACACATACACACACACACACACACACACACATACATATACATAGACACACACACTAGAGGCCCGGTGCACAAAAATTTGTGCACTCGGGGGGGATTGGGCCTAAGATAGCAATCAGACATCCCTCTGGCAGCCCGGCAGCCCTCGGGGGATGTCCACTTGCCAGTGGGGAGCAGGCCTAAACTGCAGTCGGACATCCTTAGAGCTGCTGAGGAGGCAGGAGAGGCTCCCACCACCGCCGCTGTACTGGCAGCCATAAGCCTGGCTAGTGGCTGAGCAGAGCTCCTCCCATGTGAGAGGGACCTGACCACCAGAGGGCAGCTCCTGCATTGAGTGTCTGCCCCCTGGTGGTCAGTTTGTGTCATAGTGACCAGTAATTCCCGACTTTCTGCTGTTAGGGTCAGTTTTCATATTACCCTTTTACTATATAGGATAGAGGCCTGGTGCATGGGTGGGGGCCGGCTGGTTTACCCTGAAGGGTGTCCCGGATCAGGGTGGGGGTACCGCTTGGGTGCCTGGCCAACCTGGATGAGGGGATGATGGCTGTTGGCAGCTGGTCACTCCCCCTTCAGGGTGGGGGTCCCCACTAGGGTTCCTGGCCAGTCTGAGTGAGGGGCTGAGGGCCGTTTTCAGGCTGGCAGGTGACTGAAGCTCCCAACCTCTCCTTTTTTTCTTTTTTCTTTTTTTTTTATTCTGGGATTTATTTACCTTCTATGGCTGTCACTGGAACGGAGAGCCGGCTTTAGCTCTGAGGCTCGGCTCCAGCTCTGAGACCTTGGCTGCTGAAAGCAGGTATCTGGGTTTGTTTGGTTTCTATAATTGTAACACTGTTGCGGTCCTGCTCACTCCAGCTCTGATGGCTGAAAACAGGTTTCTGGGGTTTGTTTAGGTTCTATAATTGCAACATAGTTGCTTAGAGTGCAAGCTCAGAGGCCGGCAGTGGCAGGCGGGGAACCTTGGCTTCTTCTATCACTGGAGCAAGCAAGCCTCCTGTTCGCTTCAGCTGCCTGGCTTCCGGCCGCCATCTTGGTTGGCAGTTAGTTTGCATATCTCGCTGATTAGCCAATGGGAAGGGTAGCAAAGTTATGGTTAATAACCATGTTTCTCTATTATTAGATGGGATATGTATCCTATATAATAAAATGCCAATATGCAAATCAACCAAATTACGGAACAACTGGTCTCTATGATGAACTGACCACCAGGGGCAGACGCTCAATGCAGATACTGCCCCCTGGTGGTCAGTGCGCTCCCACAGGGGGAGTGCTGCTCAGCCAGAAGCCGGGCTCATGGCTGGCGAGAACAGCAGCAGTGGTGGGAGCCTCTCCCACCTCTGTGGCAGCTCTACGGATGTCCGAATGCCGGCTTAGGCCTGCTCCCCACAGGGTACAGTCTTAAGCCATCTGTCGTACATCCCCAAGGGCTCCCGGACTACAAGAGGGTGCAGGCTGGGCTGAGCGACCCCCTGAGTGCATGAATTTAGTGCACCAGGCCTCTAGTATATATATATATGTATGTATGTATGTGCGTGTGTGCGTGTATGCCTAAGTGACCATTATGGCAGAATGACCAGTCGCTATGATGCACACTGACCACCAGGGGGTAGACACTCAATGCAGGAGCTACCCCTTGGTGGTCAGTGTGCTCCCACAGGGGGAGTGTGGCTCAGCCAGAAGCTGGGCTCATGGCTGGCAAGCACAGTGGTGGTGGCGGGAGCCTCTCCCGCCTCCGTGGCAGCGCTAAGGAGCCACCAGCTGAGTAGTAAGTAGCAGCGAGCAGGCAGGCAGTAAGGAGCGAGGGGTCCCAGACTGCGAGAGGGCGCAGGCTGGGCTGAGGAACCCCTCCCCTGCCTGTAGTATTTTGATAATATCTTTGGAATATATAACTAATAATTTGATGTTACTTTAGTCCAATATTTGTATATAGTTTAAGAGAAACTTATAAAATTCAGCTTAATACATTTTTCAAGCTAAAAATAATTATAGTTATATTTGCTTTTTGGTGGAAAAATTATCCAATGAGAGAATTATAATTATCTAAATGAGAAAGTATTAAAGTATTAGTAGGTCATATCACTTTCCTAATTTGGGTATTAGAATATAACAGAATTTCTTTCTCAGATTTCTCAAAGTTATTAGCCTTGGTTACCAGTTTTTTTTTTTTTTAAATTAGTATATTTTTATTGATTTCAGGGAGGAAAAGAGAGGGAGAGAGATAGAAATGAGAAAGAATCATTGATCAGCTGCCTCTTGCACGCTCCCTGCTAGGGATTGAGCCTGCAACCCAGGATCATAGGTCAATGCTCAACCACTGAGCAATACTGGCTGGGCTTGGTTACCAATTTTTATGAAAGATTCTTAAGACTACTTTTTAGTTGTAAACTAGCGTGCAACTTGACATTGCTTATTGTTTAACTATGACCAGAAAAGCCTATGCATGTTGGAGGAACTGGTCTTCTTTAGTGCTACCACCACAAACAACTAGAAAATTAGAAAATAAAGTTAAAACCACTGTTTTCAGAAATTTTACAACAAGTAGTACAGGGTTTTGATCCATGAAAGAAGAGAAATGAATGAAGTCAATCTTTCAGCTACTCCAGCTTTGGAAATGCAAACATTTTCCAATCTGTGGTGTAGATTGAGGAAATCTGAGGAAAACACAGTGGTCTTACTGAATTGAGGAATGAGAGATTGAAGTTCAGGGAGGTTGAGGAAGCTCAGATTTTTAGGGCAAAATATCAGAGAGGAGAGAACATGGGAAGAAATCTGCATAGGGATCCACTTGAGTGTTTGGCTGAATATTAAGCTTTGTGCCTACAAGGTGGGATTCCATGAGACCAGGCAGTGAATAATTATTAGGAGCTAAAGGCTGGAAATTTATCAAATTCACAGGGCTGGGAGATGTTCAAGTTCTAGCCAGTCAGAGAAGAAAGATGTGGGTGAATGCTCAGTTGGAGTGGTAGATGCAGGAGTCAGACAGATGAAGATAAAAATATCATTTAAAAAGTGTTTTTATTGATTTCAGAGAGGGGAAGGGAGAGGGAGAGAGAGAGAGAGAGAAACATCCAGAGATGTCACATCTCTAATGTTACTAGAGTAAAAACCTAGTGTATGTCCAACCTAACAGAGCATAAAAACAAACCTAGAAAGGATCCAGCTGAACCACAAGTACATTAAATGCTGGACCAAAAGTCAACATTTTTTTTTTGAAAGAATTCAGCAAAATCCAGAGCTGTCACAATAAATATAAAAAAAATTGTTGGACATATGAAGAAGCAGAAAACATGTGAGCTGTAAGCAGGAGAACAATCATTCAATGGAAATGAGACTCTGAAATGAAAGATGATAGAGTCACCAGACAACTACTTTAAAAAGTTCTTATATACTTATGGGTATAAAAAAAACTGTAATAATAGAAATAGTGGAGCCAATAAAACAGAATCAAATAGAACTTATAGAGCAGCAATTTTCAACTGTTGTACCCCCCAAAATTTTAAAACATGCAATACCTGACTATTTTAGTTAGGGGCACTGATCTCTTTTCTCTTATATTGTCAAATAAAAATGTGACAACAGCCAACATAACAATGGCTGTCCAGTGTAAATGAATCAAAATTATACCTATTTTTTGGTCAGATCAGCAAAAACTGTACTGGGTGTCCCCAAAAATATATGTACACTTTAACAGCTGATTTTATTACATCTTGAAATGTATTTTAATAAATACTGCTTTTATAATTATTCAAAGTGTGTATACATTTTTGGGGGATACCCTATATTTTTTTTGGTGTGTTGTAGAATTTTAGTAATTAGTTTATGTGTGCTATGAGATGAAAAAGGTTGAAAATTGCTGTTCTAGAGATTTAAAAAAGATCTGAAATGAAAATTTCATTGGATGGGCTCCATAGATTAAGCAAGTAGAAAACAGCATCAGTGAACATAAAGAGAAGGTAATTAAAACTGTTCAAAATAAATCACACAGAGAGAAAAGGCTAGAAAAAAATGAGTAATGCCTTATTAATGACTTGTGGTGCAGTATCACATAATTTGTGTCACAGTAGGATGGGAAGGAGGAAAATATTAGCAGAAATAATGGCTGAAAAAACTTTTAATTTGATTAAAAATATAAATCCACATTTATGAAACTCAATGAACCCCCCCCCCCCCAAAATCAGATGAATTAGATTTCATCTAAAGAAAAAAATGTATACGCTTCAGGAGATACCATAATGAAAATAAGAGCCAAGATGTAGACTAATAGAAAGTATTTCTAATACATATGTCTAACAATTTAGAACTATCCAGAATAGATGGGGCACTTTTATTATTCAGATCAATGATTGGAAATAGAGACGAGTGGAGGGTACTGACTTCATAGGGGCATGAAGGAACTTTTTGGGGTAATGAAATGTTCTCTACATCTTGATTGTGGTGATGATTAAATGAGTGCATATATTTATCAAATCTCAAACTATATAATTCAATTCAGTTAGTTTTGTTTCATGTAAATTTAAGCTTAATAGTGATGGATTTAAAATAGTAGGAATCTCTGAATTTCATGTTATTTCTTATGCTTTTGAGATATTATGTTTACGTATTTTTGGAAAGATGTGAACAATTCTTGAAAAAAATTTAAGATAACCTATCATAGAGCACTTTATTCTCATAGTACTTGAATTTGGGTTTCTTAGCTCTTGTTAAACATTTGTGCCCTTCATAATTAGTTTTGCTAATGTGGTAGGTAACTCAGCTAACAGAGAAGCTGAAGAATCAGTCAGAAAGCCATAAACAAGCCCAGGAGGATTTGCATGACCAGGTGCAAGAGCAGAAGGCACATCTTAGAGCTGCACAAGATCGGGTCCTTTCCCTAGAAACCAGTGTCAATGAATTAAATAGTCAGTTAAATGAAAGCAAGGAGAAGGTCTCTCAGCTTGACATACAGGTAAGTAATATTGAATTATGCAAATGAATTTATATGAATAAAACACTAACTTTAGGCCATCAAATGTTTTAAGTATTGTTTCCCTCTCTCTTTCTATCCCTTGAACCTCCATCCCTATCCCACCCTTCCTGGCCTGATCTCCCTCTCTCATTAATGGAAAAAAATTGAGAATAAGAATTATATAAAGGCTGTATTTAGACAATTGGTTGTGCTTTCTTGTTTGCCTTTTTTTTCCTCTTTCTTCTGGCAAACTGTACTTACTGAAACTACCGATCTTTTTGCCTTGCTTTCATGAAGTTCTTATTATTGTTTTTCAAGTTTAAAATAGTTTGATATTATACTTTTAGATTTCTAGGTTAAATATATTTTTGACTTTGTTTTTTCTTTTTATTTTACTTTAAATGTATGATTTAGAAAAATATCTGTATATGGTACCATTATGTTTAAAAATATATATTCTTTCATAGGCCAATATAGAAGTTTTGTTCAATGGGTCAGTTGTGGAGTCGGAAGTAAGACACTTCTTTCTCCATTCTCATAATTGGTTTCTTAATGTATACTGTAGTAGAGAAAGTTACAGAAACATTTCTTTATTTTAGGAGATTAATTACACTGAAAATAAGAAAAAATATGACAACTTGGAATATAATGATATACATTTCTTTCTTTTTGAAATATAATTATTTATCAGATGAGTTATATGATAATCCAATTAGTGGATGTCCAATTTAAGAGGGAGAGAAGTGTTTCCATGACATATAGGAACATCTTTTTATCATTTATCCAAACATTATTAGGAATCTTCTCTCCTACTTTTTTTCTGTTTGTGAGATATCACGTACTAATTTTTCAGTATTTAAATCTTTGTTTTTTTTGCCAAATGACTTAAAATTTTAAATTATTTAGTGACAAAAGCAATGTATATCCATGCAAGAAGAAATTAATAACTAAATGTGGATTAAATGACTTGTAAATTTTGTTACAGGTTAAAGCCAAAACTGAATTATTGCTGTCAGCAGAAGCAGCAAAAACTGCTCAAAGAGCAGATCTTCAAAATCATTTGGATACAGCCCAAAATGCATTACAAGATAAACAGCAGGTAGGAGGACCTGATGCAGTTCACATCATAGCCTAATGTTCTGATAGATAATTAATTGTAAACATATATAATGATAATACTCAGTTTTATGTTGTTGTGATTGACTTGCTTATTACCCTTAATTTCTTCCTGAGTTCACAACCAGTTGAAGTGGTAGATGCAGGAGTCAGACAGATGAAGATAAAAATATCATTTAAAAAAATGTTTTTATCAATTTTAGAGAGGGGAAGGGAGAGGGAGTGAGATAGAAACATCAGTGATCGATCAGCTGCCTCCTGCATACTCCCTACTGGGGATCAAGCCCGCAACCTGGGCATGTCCCTTGGCCGGTACTTGAACCACAGCCTCCTGGTTCATAGGTTGATGCTCAACCACTGAGCAACACTGGCTGGGCTCATTTGTAGTTTTTGATAAGCTCACCTATAGTGCATCTATGATTGGGCCTTCTTAATAATTTCTCCTCTAGTCTAGAACTTCGTGTGGAGCTGAAATAGTCAGTCTTAATTGTTGAATTGTTGCTCTAGCCCATGAAGTGCCAATCACTGGGAAAGAGAGACAAACTTGCCCACATGTTTTTAGTAGACATTCTGGGCTGTAAACCAGATTTACTTATCACTTGAAAGCAGAAAAGAGCAACATGCATTCCATCTCAATAATAAAAGTTGCTCTCTTTTCTTGGGAGTAGGAATCATTGGAGCTGGAGGGAATATAGAAGTTACCTTTTTAAAGCTTCCTTCTTAGGGAAAAGGACAAAATGCTGGTAGGTTATTCTTACTTTTCACCAGATAGGCAGTTTTAAAGTTTATATTTTATTTGAGAAGTAATACTAGTTGTTGGTCCAAATTTTAAAAACAATATACTAAGTATATCAAGCTAACAAAACAAAATTGATTTTTATATTTACCCTAAACTCCAATCCTTAGATGGAATATTTGCTATTAAATTTGGTATGTATCCTTCTGACTTCTATAAGCACTGAGTAAACCACACACACACATACAGTAATATTTTTATTTTATAAACAGAATCACTATATAGGTTATTTTACAACCTGCTTTTTACTTACACATCTAGAATGTATTTTCTAAACACAAGATCAGTTCCAGAAACTATAATAGAAAAAGTATTTATAAGAATAACCACATAAAAGCTTAAAATTTATCAGCCAAAAATATTAGTAACAAAATTCTAAAGCTAATAGGAAAAGAATAAAATATTTTTTGAAGTATGTCTGATGAAAGGTTAATAGCTTTTATATTTAAAACACTTTCACATAAAAAATAAGTGAACCTACAAAAAAGTGATCAAAACTATATTAGCAAATGTTCAAGTTCATTAAGAACCAGTTGCAAATTAAGACAACAATGGAATATACCCTTAAAGAAGTAAAATGTGTGTATATGTTTAATTAACACTTAAAGGATTGGAGATAGTTTAGAAAAACAAGACACTTTCATACATTGCTAGTGGGTTGTATATATTAGTTCAATCTTTTGATGGTGGTAGGAGAAGCTGCTTGGAAATCTATTTCAAGAGCTTTAGGATTTTTCATATATGCTAGTTCACTTTCAGTCCTTTATTTTAAGGGAATAATCATAGCTTTAAGGATATTGTTTGTATCTCTGTTAATAAATGCAGAAAGTTTAGTAGCAATATAAGAATCTAAAATAAGATATTTGGGGCCACATATGGCAAACCTACAGTCAACATCATACTCAATGGGCAAAAACTAAAGGCATTTCCCTTAAGAACAGGAACATGACAGGGATGTCTGCTTTCACCACTCTCAATCAACATAGTACTAGGAGTCTTAGCCACAGCCGCATCCAAATTGGAAAGGCAGAAATAAAATTGTCATTATTTGCAGATGAAATGATACTGTATATAGAAAATCCTAAAGACTCCACCAAAAAACTACTTGATTTAACAAATGAACTTGGCAAAGTAGCAGAATATAAAAATAACATCCAGATATTGATGGTATTTTTATACACCAATAATGAACTCTCAGAAATAGAAACTAGAAAAAGGAACAATCCCATTTACCATTGCAATAATAAAAAAATAAGATACCTTGGAATAAACTTAACCAAGGAGGTAAAAGATCTATATTCAGAAAACTGAATTTCTTGAAAAAAGGAATAGAGGAAGATATAAACAAATGGAAGAATATACCATGTTCATGGATAGGAAGAATTAACATAATCAAAATGTCCATACTGTCCAAAGCAATTTATTGTTTCAATGCAATCCTTATTAAAATACCGATGGCATGACCTGACCAGTTTGGCTCAGTGGATAGAGTGTTGGCCTGTGGACTCAAGGGTCCCAGGTTCGATTCCAGTCAAGGGTATGTACCTTGGTTGCGGACACATCCCCAGTGCGGGGTATGCAGGAGGCAGCTGATTGATGTTTCTCTCTCATCGATGTTTCTAACTCTCTATCCCTCTCCCTTCCTCTCTGTAAAAAAATCAATAAAATATATTTTAAAAAAAATACCGATGGCATATTTCACAGATCTAGAACAAATAGTCCAAAAATTTATATGGAACCAAAAAAGTCCCCATGTAGCAGCAGCAATCTTGAGAAAGAAGAATAAAGTAGGAGGATCACAATACCAGATATCAAATTATATTACAAAGCCATTGTAATCAAAACAGCCTGGTACTGGCACAAGAACAGACATATAGATCAATGGAACAGAACAAAGAACCCAGAAATCGACCCAAGCCATTATGCTCAATTAATATTTGACAGAGGAGGCAAGAGCATAAATGGAGTTAAGACAGTCTCTTCTACAAATGGTTTTGGGAAAATTGGACAAGTACATGCACAAAAAGGAAACTAGACCACCAACTTATACCATACACAAGAATAAACTCAAACTGGATAAAAGACTTAACTGTAAGTCGTGAAACTATAAAGATCCTAGAAAAAACCACAGACAGCAAAATCTCAAGACATCCCTTGTAGCAATATGTTTGCTGATACATCTGCTAGGACAAGAGAAACAAAGGAGAAAATAAACAAATGGTACTATATCAAACTAAAAAGCTTCTGTACAGCCAAAGAAAGCATCAGCAAAATGAAAAGGGAGCCCACTGTATGGGAGAACATATTAGCCAATAATACATCTGATAAGGGGTTAATTTCTAAAATATATACAGAACTCATACAATTTAACAAAAGGAAGACAAACAATCCAGTTAAAACATGGGCAAAGGACCTAAATAGACACTTCTCCAAAGTGGACATACTGATGGCCAAGAGACATATGAAAAAATGCTCAACGTCACTAATCATCAGAGATGCAAATTAAAATGACAAGGTATTACCTCACACCTATCAGAATGGCTACCATCAACAAATCAATAAATGTACTGATGAGAATGTGGAGAAAAGGGAACCCTAATACACTACTGTTGGGAATACAGACTGGTACAGCCACTATGGAAAACAGTATGGAGTTTCCTCAAAAAATTAAACATGGAACAGACTGTCCAACCTAAGAGGGAAAGTATGTGTGAGTGTGTGTGTGTGGGGGGGGTGGGGGTGGGGGATGGTGGTGGTGGTAAGAGATCAACCAAAGGACTTGTATGCATGCATATGAGCATAACCAATGTACACAGACAGTAGTGGGGTGAAGGCATGTGCTGGAGGGTGTGAGTGGCTGGGGAGAGGTCAATGGGGTAAAAGGAGACTTATGTAGTACTTTAAACAATAAAGAATTTAAATTAAAAAAAATTAAACATGGAACTACCATTTGACCCAATGATCCTACTTCTAGGAATATATCCTAAGAATCCCGAAACACCAATCAGAAAGAATATGCACCCCTCCTCATGTACATAGCACACAATTTACGATAGTTAAGATCTGGAAACAGACCAGTTGCCGTGCCCATCACAGATGAGTGGATAAAAAAGCCGTGGTACATTTACACCATGGAATACTATGCAGCAGTAAAAAGAAGGATCTTTTACCATTTGAGACAGCAACGAGGGATCTGCAGAGTATTATGCTAAGTGAAATAAGCCAGTCAGAGAAAGACAAGCTTCACACTCATAGTGGAACCTAATGAATAGAATAAACTGATGAACAAAATATATCCAGAGACATAGAAGCATGGAACAGATTGATGAATCTTAGAGGGAAGGATTGTGGGGTGGGGAGAGATTAACCAGGGAACTTATATGCATACTAGGGACCCAGTGCACCTTGAAAAGAACTGTGGGCCAAGAGGCTGTGGTGGGCACAGGGGCGGGTCTTGGTCCATCCTCTGTGCCCCCACCTGGCCCCTCCCGTCACAGTCCCCGGTCCCCTGTCTGCTGGCAGCCCTGCTTCCACCGCTGCTGCTCCTATGCTCTGATAGCGCCAGCCCTGCTTGCACCCGCTGATGGCGTGGAGTGATTGGGGCTATCGACAGCAACAGGTGTAAGCAGGGCCGGCGCTTTCAGTGGATGTGAGCAGATCTGCCAGCCCTGATCGCCCCTCAGGAGCAGGGGGCGGTGGAGAAGCCCTGAGGGGCAATCAGGGCGGACAGCCGCCACTCACACCTGCTGATGTCTGCCATTTTCTGTGCTCTGCCGCCTGCTGCCAATGCCTGCCATGTTTCACATGCCTGCCCCCTAGTGGTCAGCGCATGTCATAGCAATCGGTTGGTTGTTCAGTTGTTCTGCTGTTCGGTCTATTTGCATATTAGGGTTTTATATATATATGTAGATATGCATAACTCATGGACACAGACAATAGTGAGTTGAAGGCCTGGGGAAGAGGGTGTGGATGCAGGGAATAGAGGGTAAATGGGGGGCAAAAGGGGGATAGCTGTAATACTTTCAGTAAAGATAAACTTAAAAATAAAATGAAATAGGATATTTGGATAAAAATGGACTGTATAATAAAATGGAAATTTATGCAGTCAAGTATAATCATATTTTAGAAAATGTCGTAGTTTCAAGATGCATTGTTATGTAACAACTAGAGGCCTGGTGCACTCCAGGGGAGGTCCCTCAGCTTGGCCTGTGTCCTTTCGCAGTCCAGGAACCCTGGGGAATGGGCCTAATCCGTCAGTTAGATATCCTTAGTGCTGCCGCAGAGGCAGGAGAGGCTCCCACCACTGCCGCTGTGCTTGCCAGCCATGAGTCCAGCTTCTGGTGAACTGGCCACCAGGGGGCAGCTCCTGCATTGAGCGTCTGCCCCTGGTGGTCAGTGCACATCACGACTGGTCATTCTGCTGTTCAGTTGATTTGCATATTAGCCTTTTATTATCTACCAGAGGCCCGGTGCACAAAAATTTGTGCACTTGGGCCGGGGAGGGGGGTGTCCCTCAGCCCGGCCTGTGCCCTTTCACAGTCTGGGACCCCCCGGGGGATGTCCACCTGCTGGCTTAGGCCCGCTCCCTGGGGGATCAGGCCTAAGCTGGCAGCCAGATATCCCTCTGGCAGCCCGGGAGCCCTTGGGGGATGTCCACTTGCCAGCAGGGAGCAGGCCTAAGCTGCAGTCGGACATCCTTAGCACTGCTGAGGAGGTGGGAGAGGCTCCTGCCACCACCGCTGTGCTGGCAGCCGGCAGCCTGGCTTGTGGCTGAGCAGAGCTCCCACTGTGGAAGTGCACTGACCACCAGGGGGCAGCTCCTGCATTGAGTGTCTGCCCCCTGGTGGTCAGTGTGTGTCAGTGACCAGTCACTCCCAGTCGTTCTGCTGTGAGGGTCAATTTGCATATCACCCTTTTATTATATAGGATTAGAGGCCCAGTGCATGAAATTCATGCACTGGTGGGGGGTCCCTCAGCCCAGCCTGCACCCTCTCCGATCTGGGACTTCTTGGAGGATGTCCGACTGCCCGTTTAGGCCCGATCCCATAGGCAGTCAGACATCCCTCTCATAATCCGGGACTGCTGGCTCCCAACTGCTCACCCACCTGCCTGCCTGATTTCCCCTAACTGCTTCTGCCTGCTGGCCTGATCACCCCAACTGCCCTTCCCTGCCGGCTCAGTCACCCCTAACTGCCCTCCCATGTTGGCCTGATCGCTCACAACTGCCCTCCTCTGCCGGCCATCTTGTGGCCTTGGGCGCTGCCATCTTTGAGGGCGGGGCAGTCAATTAGCATATTTTCTCCTTATTGGCTGTGGGTGTCACCATCTTTGAAGGCAGGGCAATCAATTAGCATATTCCCTCTTTATTGTCTGTGGGTGCCACCCTCTTTGTGACAATGTGAGGGTCAATTAGCATAGTCTCTCTTTATTAGATAGGATACTAATAAAGAACGAATATGCTAATTGTTGGGATGCCATAATGTGTAAAGACCAGATCATTAGCATATTAGCTCTTTATTAGCTCCAATCAGCAGGAGGCTGCCTGTGTGCACCGCGGGGCATTGCTCCGGAGACAGGGCGGAAGCGGGGAGGCACCCAGAGGAGGTGGGACTATCCCATGCCGGGGAGGGTGGGGGTGAGAGCCCATAGCGCCCCCCTCACCAGTCCTTCACCACCCACCACTTGCACTCAGAGTGCCCTGCCGCCCCCCCTGCCAGGGGAAGGAGCACAGCGCAGCAGGCGGGAGGCTTCCATGTCTCCTCCGGCACCATGACAGGGCGGAGCTTCTGTGTTACTCCGGAGATGGGGCAGAAGTGGGGAGGCACCCAGAGAAGGCGGGACCAGTCCGACGACTCGAGAGACTGAGGGTGGGGCTTGAAGTGGCCGGAGAAGGCCAGAGGGGTTGGGGGCTGGGCCAGAGGCGCTGGAGTGCTGCCTGGACAGGTTCAGGTGTCAAGGCAGGGCGGTGGGTGGATGGGCAGTGCCACGCAATTTTGTGCGCTGGGCTCCCAGTATAAAGGCGGTTAACAGTGAAACAGTATGTAAAATCAGTTCCTGTTTTTATTTGAAAAGTTGAAATAAAAAAACAGAAACTAATACACAGAACAGTCTAGAAGAAAAGTGATTGAATATTAATTGTGTTTATCTGTGGGTGGTGAATTTATTAGTAATTTTTATTTTGTTCTTTGTGTGTAACTAGATATTCCTACTGAATTGAACAAGTATCATAGATGTAATCATTTTTTTAAATGTTATCTTTGAAAATGGTGTCTTGAACATTGAAAACATTTAATTATAAAATAATTATTTCTGCTTGTTTATTATTCTTTTGTATTTTTTGGCTTCCTAGAAAAAGTTATTGAACTGTTTATGCATATAAACTTAGTATCTCAGACTCTGCACAAGTTCAGTTCAGGTCCTTTAGATTGGTGGGTAAATTTAATCACTGAATTATCATTAGACTTACCTGTGATCTTACTCCAGATAGTTTCATAAATAAAATTAGAGTTTTAATTTTAGTTTGACCAAACATTTAGACACTACAGTAAAGTAAGCCTTACCAAAGTTTTCTTCACTTGTATTTCTCTGTAGGAGTTAAATAAGATCACTACTCAGTTGGATCAGGTCACTACAAAATTGCAGGAGAAGCAAGAACATTGCAGTCAATTAGAAGGTCATCTTAAAGAATATAAAGAGAAACACCTGTCTTTAGAACAGAAAACTGAAGAATTAGAAGGTCATATTAAGGTTTGTACAAAAATAGAATTTAGCAATATTTTTCACAGCTGTAGCAATGGAAACTGATGACTTGGATGGAATCAAATATTTTACATTTGCGAACAAAGGGGAAGTTGTGATATAAAAATTTTAAAAATTATAATTTTTTATGTGTTAATTTTGAATTCTACATTTACTTTTGATTTCTTCATTAGCTGATGGCTTTTACAATTGACAGTTAACATTTATACTGGTTCCATTGTAGTGTGTAACTAGTATTTCAAAGAGACAGTCAATCAGGGATCTACTCTATAATTACAAGGAACTTAATTGTTTTTTTGTGTGAAGTCTCTTTTGTTTTATCATTTCCATTCCTTACCTCCTTATTCCAATATAATATTGAAGATATAGTAGACTTTTTCCTTTTTTTAAACTTTACATTTATACCCTTTGGATTTTGTTCCTAATTTAATAATAAATTTATTCTGTGATATCCTGCTTCTTATTTTAACACAACTCCAAGGGAAAGTGCTGATTTACTAAAGAGATTAAATTAAAAGATATATCCTAGAAGGCATTGACCTAAGTACTTTGTTCTTTAAATTGGAACTTTCAGTTAAACAAAAATTTCTCAAGTTTATATATATCTAAATAAATAATACCTTCATAGTCAGATGACACACTTCTGTATAATTATGCAATCATGGGATATGCATATGTATATGTGTGTACATATACAGTATATATACATAGCCACACCAATATAACATGGAAAAAGAATTACATTTACAATTCTCATTGTGAGTTCCTTTTTCTTTTCTTTATGGCCAGTGGTAATGGTAATGAAAAATGTATGTAATAGTTGAACAGAAAAAATGATTTTATTGAAAACTGGCTAATGAGAATTCTATTTGGGTGTCTTTTAAAAATAGTTTTTTAGAAACAATAGTGTCTATTGTATTTATCAGATTTTTTAACATTTTGTAATTATTATTTTATAGAGTATTCCATATGTTTTATGTCAATATATTGTTATAGAATTAATCTTAGTTATATTAGCTATCCAGTAAAAATGTCAAGTAAGAGCCACAGATACCTAGATTAGTTTATAAAATAGAGTGCAAAATTATTATACCTTTGTAAGAAAATACATTGCATATAGATATCTAACCTATATACTTAACAGCTTGATCTTTTAAATTTGTAAAAATATACACAGTTATATGTATATGCATGGACAGAAACTACACTATGAAGAACAGCCTCTAGACGAGCGGTTCTCAACCTGTGGGTCGCGACCCCTTTGGGGGTCGAACGATCCTTTCACAGGGGTAGCCTAAGACCATCGGAAAACATATATATAATTACATATTGTTTTTGTGATTAATCACTATGCTTTAATTATGTTCAATTTGTAACAATGAAATTGAGGGTCACCACAACATGAGGAACTATATTAAAGGGTCGCGGCATTAGGAAGGTTGAGAACCACTGCTCTAGCCCAATAGATTAAAGAAACAAAATCAGGAATTTAACTGGCTTTATATTTAGGGTCAATAGGTGTTAATGAGAAGGATGATGTGACAGCTTTATTTTAGTTTGAATATCTATAATTATATCAGTGTTAACTGTAAACACAGAAGATTTTATATATACTTATGTTAAATATATCTATTTATATATCTATTAAATATAAATACATATAGTTAAATGTTTTTATTGATTGTAGAGAGAGAGGAAGGGGGAGAGAGTACTGGGGATCAAGCCTGCCACCCAGGCTTGTGCCCTGACTGAGAATTGAACCAGTGACATTTTGGTGTATGGGATGACGCTCACCCAGCTGAGCCACATTGACCAGGGCAAGGATAATACATACATTTTAAGTGGGCCCATATGTGAACTTTTTACTTGTTTTTCCATACTTGAATTAATAATTTATACTCATTATAGGTATAATTATTTTAAGTTTATTCTTTTCAGATAATTTAAAAAGTAAAAACTTAGTGACTATCATGTATAAAGCCTGCTGCTAGCTCTTCTGGAGGATTTCAAGATAAATGGCTCCTTTTCTCAGTAATGGCTTCAGAATGTATTTTTTACTTAAGTATTTCATGGCTATTTTTGTGTGTTATGTAAATACTAATTTGAGTATAAAACAAAAACATTATAATATTTAAAATAATTTTTGACATTAAAATGGTTACTATGTTATATTTTTTCCATAGAAATTAGAAGCTGATACTCTTGAAGTCAAAGTAAGCAAGGAGCAAGCTTTGCAGGATCTACAGCAGCAAAGACAGCTGAACACAGATTTAGAGTTTAGAGTCACAGAATTGACTAAACAACTAGAAGAGGAGAAAGAAATGTAAGCTTAACCACTTAAGGGGGAAGATTATAATCTAAGTATTATAATTTATAATCTAAATTTAATTTTAAATTCTTAAAATTTAATTTTGCTATCACGGTGCTTAAAGATTTAGTAAATGTTTCTCTGTGTTGAGTCTATAAACAACTAATAATGTAAATGAAAAAATAAGGCCATCACATGCTCTCACTCATTTGTGGATTATAATAAACAACATAAACCAATGAACAAAAACAGATGTAGAGACAGAGAAGCATCGATCAGATGCTCAAACCTCAGAGGGAAGGCAGGGGAGGGTGGGGGTGAGGGGGAGAGATCAACCAAAGGACTTGTATGCATGCATATAAGCATAAGCGATGGATATGGACAACAGGGGGTGAGGGTGAGGGCAGGATTGGGGGGATGAGAGGACATTGGGGGGATAAGGACACATTTGTAATATCTTAATCAATAAAGGGAAAATAAATTTAAAAAAATAAGGCCATTATAATATAGTTAAATTTACCTTCAATAGTAAGGACTGAAAAGTTGAGTTATCTAGTCTTTTTTCAGCAGTAATGTGGTACTCATTTCTCTGGATTAAAGCAGTTATTTTGAGTTGTTCATCAATTTGCAAAAATTAATGTAAAATAACAAATAGAGGGGTGTTTAGATATAACCAGCTAAGAGCAGTCAGGCTTTTGCTTTGAGGCACTGTGCCAAGTAGGGAATATATACTGTGCCAAGTAGGGAATATATATTTTATTGTAAGAAATGATCTATTTTAGCTTTAAGATGCATTTTCACAAATTGTCTATATATATGAGCACAGTTTTTTTAATTTTTTTATTAAGTTATTACATATATGTATGCGCACATTTTAAAACCTTTTTTTCCTAGCAGCTTTGCTTTACATTTTTTGGTTTAACTTTCAATGAATAGAAATCCTAATTTTTGTTTAAATTCAATTTGTAATTTTTTTTTTTTATGTTTAGTGTCTTGTGTTTTTTCTAAGGAATCTTTGCTATTCCCAGGGTTTATGAAGAAATGTCTTATGTTTTCTTCTAGAAGTATTTATAGTTTTGTTTTTTACATTTAGGTCTAGGATTTACCTTGAACTTAATTTTGTGTGAGGTCTCAGGTAGGGGTCCAGGATCACCTTTTCCTCCTTACATTAAGTTGTTATAGTAACATTTGTTGAGAAAAAATTTCCTCTCCCCTTGAGTGGCCTTTGTCAAAAGTGAGTTACTGAATATATGTAGGTCTGTTTGTGGACTCCATTCTGTGCCATTGGTCTGTAATCTATATGGTATCCTGAAACCAGTACCATCCTATGTTGTGTTTTTTGTTGTTGTTGTTGTTGTTTGTTTTTTTTTGCAGCTTTGTGGTAGATCTTAATATTAGGTTGTATCAGTCCTCCAACTTAATTTTTTTCAAGATTGTCTTGACTCTTCTGAATTCATACAGTAATATATAAAAAGAACGACAGCTCTTCCATATAAATTTTAGTATTAACTTGTCCATTTCTACAAATAAAATTATTGGGTGTTGATTAGAATTGTAGTGAATCTTTAGATCAGTTTGCAAGAATTTAGCATTTAAACTTTATTGAGTCTTCTAATCCATGAACATGGTATATCTCTATCTATTTAGGTCTTCTTTAATTTCTCTGAGCAACATTTTATCATTTTTAAAATAAGAATTTTGCATATCTTGTTAAATTTATTTCTAAATATTTTACATTTTCAATGCTATTTTAAATGGAATTACTTTTTTAAATTTAATTATCTGATTGATTGTGAATAGTACAAAATACAATTGAATTTTATAGATTGACTTTCTATCCTTTAACTTTGTTAAATCCAGTTTCATGTTTTAATAATTATTTTGTATAGAATTTTCTAAGTAGATAATCATGTTATCTGTGAATAACAATAGTTTCACTTTTATTTTTTTGTCCAATCTTCAGGCCTTTTATGTCTTTTACTTGACTTATTGCTGGCTGACACCTGCAGTAAAATTATGAATATAAATAGTAATAGTGGATATATTTGCAGTATTCCCAATCTTAGGTGGGAAAATTAAATAAACTATCTTCAATTTAGAGGATAGCTATAGGTTTTTCCTACATTCCTTTATCAAATTGAGATAATTTTCTTCTATAAAGAAGGATTTTTAAAGATTTTTTATCAACTTCTTTCTCAGCATTTTTGATATGATCATATATTTTTTTCTTCTTTATTCTGTTATATAGTGAATTACAGTAATTAATCTTAAAATTTTAAACCAACCTTGCTTTCCTGGGATAAATCCTACTTGATCATATTGTTATTTTTTTATATATTGCTGTATTTAACTAGATACTATTTTATTTAGAATTTTACATGCATTCATGTAATGTTCTTTTAATGTCATTGTCAGTTTTGAAATAATGGTTATATTGGTCTTAAAAAAGGTAATTCTTCCTCTGCTTTCTGAAAGAGTTTGTATGAGATGGATATTATTTATTTCTTAATAGATATAGGAATATTTTTATTTTCTAATGTATTTCTTGGATCTGTTTTGGTAATTCTTTCGAGGAATTTGTGCATTTCATCTAAATTTCAAATTTATTGATATACTGCTGTTTATAATGCAGGGTGGGGCAAAAGTAGGTATACAGTTATGAGTATGTGAAACATAAGTTTATTCTTTTGTTATTTATTAATTAGTATAGTATTTTCCATACAAACAAATGTAAACTTACTTTTGCCCCACCCTGTATTATTATTTTAAGGTCTTGTAGGATCTGTAGTGATGTCTCATTATTCTTAATGTAACTTGTGTTCTCTTTTTTTCTTGATCAACCTAATTAGAGATTTAGAAATTTTATTAAAAAAACTTTTAATTTGGTTTTCTTTGTCAGTTTGCTATTTCATTTATTTCTCCTCCTATCTTTAGTGTTTTCTTCACATGCCATATCGCCATAAAAGTACTAAACTGAGACATCTTTCTTTGGTCCTAAGGTAGAGTTAGTCTCTTGCCTAGTTTGTTTTTGATGTTGATGGTTGGATTGGATTTTCCTATGAGATCTTCAGTGGACACATAACTCACCAGACTTTTGATGGATAGAAACAGTTTCACCCCATTCATTTGAAAGTCTTCTTAGGAGGGCTGTGAGCAGCCACACTTCAGTAGTCTTTGTCTCTAAATGCCAAGTAGGCCACTCTGACTGAGTTGACAGACTTCATCTGTGTCAAAGGGATTTAGGTTCCTTGACTCAGTAGTAAAGTTAGAGGCTGAGAGCCTGGGAAAATGACCTTCTGGGAAATTAAATAAAACACATCAGAGTTAATATGTTGTTTCCGGAGTTCATGGTTTCATTTTTGTTTTGGAAGTGATGATGAAAATTTCTTGTTCTCACATCTAGTAAATTGGGTCCTGATAATTTGAATTTGAGGATATAGAGCTACATTTTGTGCCTCAAATGACATTTTTTTCTTACTGTTAGCATCATAGTTTCTAGTGCCTATGTATTTGGGGAGCACATCTGATCCTTTATATCACCAACTGAATGGTTGGTTTATTACTTTTAGAACTCAGTTATCGATTCGTGAAGATCACTTCTGTGTCAGTCTTGTTCTCTTTCCCAAAGCCCCTATAGACCGGTGGTTCTTTTCATTTCTAATGGGCTTAATGAAAATGGCCCCATTTCCACTCTGTGTTCTATTCTCATGGTTAAGAACTCACTCAGAGGTTTCCACATCATATTGGGGTAGGAAAACCTTAGTACTAAAAGGTTTTCCTACCCCAATAAGAAATGCAAACATTTCTTATATCTAGAGTGCTAGAAATGGAGGGCTGCGTAAACATGTTTGGGATTTGACTAAACCTCACCCCTGATCGAGGGAGTACAGGACTCCCCTTTCTCAAGGCACATCAGTATCTAGGCATTCAACTCTTTCTCTTCAACTCACATTGTACAATGTATTTTCATTATTGTAGAGTTTAATGTATTTTCTAATATCATTTGTGATTTCTTTGATGCATGGGTGATTTAGAAATATATATGTTGTTTATTTTCCAGCTGTTTGGGGCTTTTATAGATATGTTATTGATTTCTAATATTTGGTAAAATTGAGACTTTTCACACAGCCTTATCTATGGCCCAGTTTATGGTTTATCTTGTTTAATTTATTACGTGTTTTTGGGTAAAGTGTTCTATAAATATTAATTAGGTCAAGGTGGTTAATAATGTCCTAATCTTCTATAATATTACCAGTTTTTTCCTCTGGTTATTCTATCACTTTCTGAGAAATATGTGGCTAGTACATCTTTTAACAACCTCTCTTCACCATATTATTGAATTTATGTTTATAAAATACGTTGGCAATAGTATGCATTCAAGAAATATTAGTACTTTGCATCTGGTTTTATTTTCACTTTAAAAAAATGCTTGATATTTAGTATGTGTTTTTTGATGCATATATATATATATATATATATATATACACACACACACACACACACACACACACATATATATATATATATATATATATATATATATATATATATATATAATTTTGTTTCTTTTATGAAAATAATAAAAGTCTTTAGTTTAATTTTCCTAAAGCTATATATACATTTCCTAATATTGCACTTTATTCATTTAGGGATAGAAAACTTAAGTTAATGAACAAATGATAACAAATCTCTTGTATAATCTGCTAAACTCTAGGATTAAAGTAAATCATTTGTCTTTCCTCTTTGTTTGAAATGAAATATTTCTTTTTTTAATTTATTTTTTCTGGGTTAATGTATTTTATGTTTTCAAGAAAAGAGGCAAAGTTCTCTATGTGCTTGGGGGATAACACAATAAATAGGAAAGTTTCTGGCTATTATAGACTAGAGGGTCTGTTATATGCAGAGTTTTAATTTTATTTTTGATCCATTGTTGTGGATAAGACTGAATTAAGTCAGGAAGCTTAGATGGTATTGAGTTATTTGACTTGAGAAAAATTATCATCTGTTAAATGATCACAATATGTGTTTTAAAGCATTTTTTAGTTGTGTGATTTTATGACGTTTAATTTTTTTTTTTTTTTACTTCTTAACTACGCAAGAAAGTTTTAGAACTCAATACTAATTTATTAATTTTAATGCTATATTAGGGATGGTAAATTATGCATCATTTAAAGAAATTGTTTCTTGTCTATTTAGAGTATCCAGTACAAAGTTGGACCTACAGAAAAAATCTGAAGCCCTTGAAAATATTAAGCAAATGCTTACCAAGCAAGAGGAAGAAAAAACAACTCTTAAAAAAGAAATAGAAAATTTAAGTCAAGATGCAAAGATGCAGCACAAGGAATTGAACAACAAAATTCAAACAGCAGTAGCAGAATTACAAAAAGTGAAGATGGAGAAAGAAACTCTAATGGCAGAACTTTCTGCAGCAAAAGAGAAATTATCAAAAGTTTCTGATTCTTTGAAGAACTCCAAAAGTGAATTTGAAAAGGAAAATCAGAAAGGAAAGGCTGCTATATTAGATTTGGTTAGTTGTTTACATTTGCTTTCTTAGGTAGAAGTGATATTTTTAAACTAAGATGTACTGATTTTTCTACTTAATTCATTGTTGACATTTTGTCCTACATTTAAATGATTTAAATAATTCTTATGAGGAAAGGAATTGGGATTGCTTAACCTGAGGAAAAGATATTGGCATGTGCATGTGTAATTTTTCAAAGACCCAGGGTTTCAGTTGAATGTACAATCTTATTTTATTGCTAGTATGATGCGAGATTTGGGAGAGACTGAAGCAAGTTTGTCCTCAGAGACATTTCCACAGAGAATATAGCTACTAGTTGAAACATTATTCAAGTATCTGTGAAAGAAAAAAGACAAGAAAGAGCTTGACTCTTAATTCTGGTACTATAAACTTTCTAATATTTATTGAATACTAGAGGCCTGGTACACAGATTCATGCACCAGTAGGGTCCCTCGACCTGGCCTGTGCCCTCTTGCAATCCGGGACCCCTCGGGATGTCAGATAGCCGGTTTTGGCCTGATCCCTGCAGGCCTGATCAAGACAGGAGGGAGCCCAATCCCCGTAGGCCCGATCCAGACAGGAGGGAGCCCGATCCTGTGTGTGTTGAGCATCTGTCCCCTGGTGGTCAGTGCATATCATAGCAACCGGTCATTCAGTCAGTTGCTTAGGCTGTTATATATGTAGATTCTAAAACTCTGGATAATACCATGTCTAGAGATACCATAAAACCTACTTAAAATATAGAGAAAAAAAGTCTCACAGTCTAGGAAATGCATAAAGGGGAATGTATTCTCAGAAATATTTTAACCCAAAATAACACAGAATAACAGTGTAAGTAATATCCTTTTGTTCTTAAGAGTAAAAGTGTTTAGTGGTATAAAGAACATATGATACTAGTATGTTACTTTTATGTTTCTTTCTGTTTGGTAAAATCTTTTATTTGTACTTCTTCCCTCTTAAATTGTGATTATTTTTTATTTATTGTTTTAATAATTACTGTTAAAATTTTTTTTTGCTTTCACTACTTTAAAAATTATGTGACAAGTTAATTATAATTAATTTTGTGTTATAAAAATATTCTAAAATATTATCTATATGTTATTTAAAACATTTATTGGAACTGTTGATTGATGATAGAAATGTTTAGCCTTTTCCTGTCTCTCTGCTTTTATTGCTATATGTGCTTGTTTTTATAATTGAAATGGAAAATTCTATCCCATTTTAAACCACCAGTGATTCTAGTTTATTTCCTTGTGTGGATCTTAACTAAGCCTATAAACCAAACTTCTTATACTTACTACAAATATTTTCTGCATAATATAGTTTTTATTTTTTTAGGAAAAAACTTGCAAAGAATTGAAGCATCAATTTCAAGTACAGATGGAAAGCACACTTAAGGATCAGAATGAACTGAAAAAGTCACTTGAAAAAGAGAAGGAGGTAAGATTTTCTTTTTATATATCATAAAATATATAAAGTATAAAAGGCCTTTATATTTAAAAAATATTTTCACACTGATGCTTAAATCAAAGGAAGGTTTATTTCCCTGAAATATAATGAATCATATATACATAGTTTAAAACTATAATTTATGTTCTACCTCTTACTAAAAAGATTTAAGCTACTTTATAATAAAAGGCCCAGAATTGAGAATTATAATTAAAGATGAAAAATTGAGTCAACTAACTATTGAGTTATTAGCTAATCTAAATTAGGAATTAGTGTTGGAAAAAATCTTGATGGGCTTTCCATAGAAATGACTTTTTAAGTGCTCTTTATTTCATGGACATTTGTATTGGTACATATGATATTGGTTGAATAACAATCGAGATTTTTTCTATTGCTCTCTATCACAAACAAACAAACAAATGAATAAATAGTGGTTATAATATATAGTTGTAATTCTCTGAAGACACCTCTAACAACTAGAGTTCAGGCATGTAGCTTTCTAGAGATCTGAGTTGATAAAGCAACAAAACCTACTCCTGACAAGTCATTAATATGAAATTATGGTGGCTTAGTGCTCAAGGTCTGAATCCAGATTGTCCAGAAATATTTACTGGCAATGCCACTTATTAGTTATTCTGTCTTGCCTTGTTTTAGGCAGATGATTTAATTTCTCTGTGCTCCAGTTTCCTCAGCAGTACAACGGGGCTAATAATAAGAATCTATGACATAGGAATATTGTGAGAAATATATGGGTTAATATATTTTAAAGTGCTTAGAACACTGATTAGAATAAAATAAATGCTCACTCTTAGCTTTATTTTTATTACTGGTTATCACAACATAATCATCATTATTGTTACATTATCTGGCCCCTATTTTACACAAAAATATTCCCTTGCATTGGAAATAGCTGAAGCACTTATATGTAGTACTGGAACTTTAAAAAGTAACTTTGAATATGGTCAAATGCTCAAGTTAGGTTCCTAATGAAATATACATATAACATTAAAACATGACTTTGGCTGGAAGGGCAGGAGATAGTTCACTTTGGCCACAGAGGAACCTCAATGTAACTTCTATATACGGTATCTAATTTTGAACAGAAATATATGCTAGTAGATAGTAAAAAAAAGTAGTAGCAAAATATGTCTCATTTCTCTAAATGAGGAAACTATTGTGTGGTGTGGTTTAGTGTCATCAGACAGATACTAAATGTATTTCCCAAAGTGATTTTAGTTTTTGTCATAGTTAATATGAAGTTATTCTTTCTGATTTACCCTGGGCAGCAGGCTCAGTTAGCATTTTGAGAATAAAATAACCCTTAATTTTGCAGACCTCCATTTAACATACTTCGGATTTAATGAACAAAATTTCCGGTCCATATGTCATAAGTAAAAATTAACACCCTATTAATTTTAAAATTCTTTTAACCAAAATTTGCTTATAATTAAATGAACAGGTTATCTTTTGTTATGAATTCACTGTTATTTTTAACAAATTTTTGTGAATGGGTCATATGTTGGAAAAAACACTGTAGTAATTTCACTGCCATAAATAAATATTACATATCTACAATTATAGTCTACATATTTAAATCTAAGAGTCACCGTCCGTAAACACTGTTCGGCGAATGATTAGCACATGATCACATTGCATCGTGCATGGTAATTGGTTCTGTTGTCACTTGGTGTGAATTTTTGCAGCAGTTTTAATGTGTGCCAGCCAATGTTTCAAGGTGCGCTAAGCCACATCTCAGCCACTCGTGGTGACTAGTGAATGCACACATTTATTAGACCTATTCAGTAATACATATAGAAAACTTTGTGAAATTAAATTTCATACATACTTAATTTTAATTACACAAATGTGTCTACATAAGTAAAAACAGGTTAACTAATTTGTCAATTTTTTAACATACGCATTAGGAAAAACTACTTTATTATGTAATAGGTTTTTCAGCTTTAATGGACACCCCTTTTCCCGAATGCCCGTTATATCAAGGTTTTTTTGTGTTCTAGAAAGACAATAGACATTCTAGCAATCTAAAGATTGATGTTGATATTCTTATTTTCTATGACACAAGGGAATACTTGTCTAGTTCATTTACAAGCTCTGTCCAAATACATAAATCATAAATTTAAAAGGAAGTTAGGATTAAACAAATATTAAAGATTAATCCAGTGTGTCATCTAATGGTGAATAGTGTCAATTATAAAAGCTCCATGAATACAAGGATTTTTGTTTTGTTTTTGGTTCACTATTGATTATCTGTGGCCAATAGGCTCAGTAGTTTCTACCTAGAATAGTGGTTGGCAAGTAGTAGATAGTCAGTAAATGTGTGTTTGATGAATAAATGAATGCTAAACGGATTTCCTTTTCTTATAGACTTCTCATCAGTTGAAGTTGGAACTCAATTCAATGCAGGGACAAGTCATACAGGCCCAGGATAATTTAAAACAAAAGGAAAAAGAAGAACAGCAACTTCGGGGGAACATAAATGAGCTAAAGCAATTGACTGAAGAGAGGAAAAAGCAAATTGAAGCACTCCAAGGAGAAGTTAAAATTGCTGTCTCACAGAAGGTAATGATATGTTTGTTTACTTTTTCTGGGAAGAAAAACTATAATTAAGATAATATGATACCTAACACATGAATTGCAACGAAGAATATTTATATGCTCAAAATATTTCTAAGTTAAATGTGTAAAAGTACTTAATTATATGATTAAATATCTAAGTCTAGATTCTGATTTACTTCTAACCATTGTCAGGTAATTCTTATTTAAAATTCTAGAATAAATCATTTTTCTGATATACATAAAAGGATCTTTTTGTAAAATAATATATAACACTTATTAAAGGGATGACTAATACAACATTTCTAGTGTATTTAAAAGTAAATTATTCTTACTAAGAGAAAATAATCAAGAATAAAAATCACAAAATTGGATATAAAAAAATCAGTAGTGTAGATGTTATGTAGTTATGATTATTTGATATTTTAAGTTATCATAATGGTTTCTATTTCCAAACCTACTTTAATTTGTTGTTGAGCATCTATTTTAATTCGTAAATATGTTTTAATACTGTCTAGACAAGAGTTCATAAAAATGAACCATACTTGATATTTTAACAAAATGAATTTTCCCCTACTTTTGGTATATGCATATTAAGTGTCCCATGGAGAAGAGAGAATTAAAATCACTACTATGTAGAAAAAAGTAAAACATCATATATTACGTGGTAACTGTCATATTACTAGAGGAAAAATATTAATTCTACAAATATATATTTCACATTGACCAGTTTTTATAATTATGATTATGCTATTTTATAAAAAGAATAACTTTTATTTATTTATCTTTAAATCTATTTTTATTGATTTCAGAGAGGGAGGGAGAGAAAAATCAATGATGAGAAAGAATCACTGATTGGCTGCCTCCTGACATCCCACAATGGGGATCGAGCCCACAACCTGGGCATATGGCCTGACCAGGGAATTGAACCATGACCTCCTGGCTCATAGGTCGACACTCAACCACTGAGCCATACTGGCCAGGCTAAAAAGAATAATTTTTAATAATACAAACAAGAGTAGACAAATGTTTCTATCCGTTTTTGTGTGTTGTTATATATAATCATAGGTCAGGATAGAATTATCATAATACATATTTTGTTATATGCTTTGATATCTTCTTCTTTTTGGAAAATGTCACCATCCGTTTTATTTTATTATGCTTTGATATCTTGATGTCATTTTCCCCCCAAATCTATTAGTTTCATATCCAAGTATTCCCTAGATCTTTGTTTTTATAGCATCATAACTTAGTTAATTAAAAAAAACTCTTTCCAGCACACTTTCGTTTTCATTAAATTATTGGTTACAATAAAATTTCTTTCAGATTTATGATTAATATTGCCTATATTTTGCATGGCTTTACTACATGACACGTTAGGATTATGAGATTTATAAGAAATGCTCTTATTAGTAGTTGCCTTAGTTCCAACTGCTATAACAAAAATACCATAGACTGGGTGGTTGAAAAATAAACATTTATTTCTCACAGTTCTGGAGGCTGGGGGGTCCAAGATAAAGGCATCTGACATATCCAGTGTCTCGTGAGGGTCCATATCCTGTTTGTAACAGCAGCTTTCTCACTGTAACCTCATATGGCAGAGAGAGAGATTATCACTCTTATATTTCATCTTATAAGGGCACTAATTCCATTCATGAGGGCTCCACCCTCATGACCTAGTGACTTCCCAAAGGCACCACCTCCAAATACAATCACATTGGGGGTTATGATTTCTATATATGAATTTCAGGGGAGACATGAACGTTCAGCCATAGTAGTAGTTTACTAATGTTAGTGTATGGGTGCTAGAATAAGGAATGTATTTTTTGTTGTTGTTGTTTTAAATCCTCATCTGAGGATATTTTTCCATTGATTTTTAGAGAGAGTGAAGAGAGAGAGAAAGAGAGAAGAAACATCAATGTGAAAGGAACACATCGATTGGTTGCCTCCTGTACGAGCCCTGACCGGGGCCCAGGTTGAAGAACTTGCAACCAAATTACATACTCTTGACTGGAATCGAACCCGGGACTCTTCAGTCCACAGGCCAGTGCTCTATCCACTGAGCCAAACCAGCGAGGGCTAAAGAATACATTTTTTAACCTTGGGGAAGACAGCATTTTGGGGAGTATTAGGTGGATAACTAGTCTCTGTAGATTAGACTTGAAATTTAAAGTAACTGGACAATCACTGAAAGGCAAGAATAGTTAGGTTTTGTTGAGGAGCAGTGTAACATCATGGAAAAAAGATAAATTTTAGAGCCAATCAAATCTGAATTTAAATTTTATATAACATACATTAGGTTTATGCTCACAGGGAAGTGATTCATCTTTCTGAGTTAAATAAAATGGGGTCATAGAGTTATTTGTATGCATTATCACTAGTTGTAATAATTGAGATAATGTATTTATTTAAAGCACCTATTACTGTGCCCAGTGTAGTATGTTGGATATTATATGAAAGTATAGCAAACTATGATCTAAGAGTATCAGTGTGCACGGTAGGCCATGCAGTGATGGTCTGTGACAAAGTTATCAGTGGTCCACATTGAAATAGGAAAACCAAGCATAATGTTTAAATGTATGTAGATGTATATTATATATGTGTACACTCATATATATATATATATATAAAACATAGATATTTTCTATGTATATATTTGCATGTAATCATATTTTGATTTACATATATTTACACATAATTATTACATATATAAAATCATACATATGATGGTTTAGGAGCCATTGATCAAGAATCACAGGATGAATAGGATATGGTCCCCTACTCTTAAGTAACTTATAATTTAATGAGGGAGCAGGTATGTAAAGAAAAAACTGTAATAAATAAAGAAGAATGGAATAAGAACTTAAATAGAAATATAAGAAAAATTAGAATTTAGTGGAAATTGTGACTGCCTTTCTAATTATAATTTTACAAGGTTAAGAAAAGATGGAAGTCAGGCATTTCAGAGACAGAAAATAGTATTAGCAAAGTTTGGACATTTAGAACATTAGCTATTGGAGTGCATGGTAAGTAGAGAAGTAAGGGGAGTTGAGGCCACAAAATTAGATTAATCCAAATCACAGTAGATGTTGTATAGTTATTTCCACTTAAAAATTTTAATATTGGAGGGTTTTTTTGGTTTTGTTTTGTTTTGTTTTGTTTGTTTGTTTGTTTGTTTGTTTTAAGAGGAAAAAAATGTACGTTTGTAAAGGATAAATTGAAAAAGATTGGCTTTTCTGTATTCTTCTTTGGGGCTTTAGTTTTACTGCTATTAAAGCAATTATCAAACTGTTGCCTTGATCTTTTTTAAAAAATATTTTTATTGACTTCAGAGAGGAAGGGAGAGGGAGAGCGAGATAAAAACATCAATGATGAGAGAGAATCATTGATTGGCTGCCACCTGCACACCTCCTACTGGGGATGGAGCCCACAACCCGGGCATGTGCCCTTGACCGGAATTGAACCTGGGACCCTTTAGTCTGCAGGTTGACACTCTATCCACTGAGCCAAATCAGCTAGGGCTGTTTTTGTTTCTGTTTTTGTTTTTTTTTTTTAATTTCACTTCCCCGCTACTAGATTTGAGTTCCTTAAAGTCAGAGAACTGTGTCTTTTCACAAATGAACTATCACTATTTTTTTTTAAAGAAATGAGTGAATCAATCTGTCAGAATAAAGATAATGAAGGCTCAAATATAAGCCTGAAGGGCCATTATGGTCATTGTTGAGACTTCTCAGAGGGCTTAGATGAAAGCCATAAAAGTTACTAAAGAACAGAGGACATGTGAAAAATGTTAAAGAAAAGAAGCAATGTTCTACAAAAGAAAATGTGTAAATACAGTATAGTCTTCAACAAGGAAAAAGACGTCCAGGAATTCTTCATCATGAAAAATCTAAAATATAGGAAATGAAAGGGAGGTGACATGGGATGTTACCAGACATTGTGTGGGGAAACCGACCCCATTTTTCTCTATAGGTAGTGAGCACCACCCTCTGTCAGTCTGCCTCCTTGGTCTCTATCCATCCTCTCTTTTCATTTCCCACTGCCACAGTTTTAGTCTAGGTTGTCTTTTTCTCTTATCTGGACCAATAATCCCTTAGACATTTCAGGCTTTTCTACTTCAAATCTATTTGTCACTCATTTATTCAAGAAATATTGCTAGGCACCTATTTTATGCCATGGCACAATTCTGGATGTTAGAGATATAGCCATGAACAGACGAGGAACCTGTTCTCATAGAACTTACACTTTCTTGGGGGAAGAAACTAAACAAGGTGATGTGAAAGATAGTGATAGGATAGAGCCCTATTGAAGGTTGGGTGATCAAAGAAGCCTTTCTGAAGAGATTTGAGATAATATATGAAATATAAAGGTCAGGGGAGACAACTAGTACAAAGACTTCAAGGCTAGAACAAGCTTGGTATTTCTAAAAAGAGAAGACTAATATAGGTTAAGTATAGTGGGAGAGAAGAGTGATATGGGGTGAGCTCAAGAGAAGTAGACAGGGACCAAAGCATATACATGCAAACATGTTGATTATAAGATAACAGAGAATGATATATTTTATTCTAAGGACAGTTAGACTCAGTTGGAGAATTTTGCGCAGAGAATAGTACAGCCTGACTAAAGGGAGATAAAAAAGCAAGCAAGGAAGGCATTGCAAAACTATTGCAATAGTTCAGAAAGTACATGATGATGGCATGAACTAAAGTGTTAGAAGTGGATGATTTGGGAATATGCTTTGGAAGTTGAGTCATCAGGATTTGCTGATAGATTAGAAGGTAAGAGATGATGAAAGAGGAATCAAGAATAACTCTAGGTTTGGGACTCATGCAAGTAGATGGATGACCATATTTACTGGGGGAAGTAGTAGCTTTTTAATGAGTAGGGTTGCTGTCATTAACAAAAAATTCTGCTTGAGATAGATTATCTGTCAATCACTCATGTAAAGATGCCAGGGAAGTACTTGGATAATGAACCCAGGGTTTAGGCGGAGAGGTTAAAGCTAAAATAAATGATCTTTAAAAAATGTATTTTTTATTGATTTCAGAGAGGAAGGGAGGAGGAGAGATACAGAAATATCAATGATGAGAGAGAATCATTGATCAGCTGCCTCCTGCACACCCCACACTTGGAATCGAGCCCATAACTCGGGCATATGACCTGACTGGGAATCAAACCATGACCTTCTGGTTCATATGTCGATGCTCAACCACTGAGCCACACCAGTCGGGCAATATTGAAAGCCTTGAGTCTAGTTGAGATCTTATAGATAGAGACTATATAGAACAGAAGAGGGCCATGGACAGAAAGTTGGGCTCTATAATGTTGAGAAGTCAAACATAAGAAGAGGAGCTAATAAAAGATTTTAAGGAGGAATGACCAGTGAGGTAGGAGAACCTAAAACATAGGTGCCTGGAAACCAGGTTGAAGAATGTTTCTAGGAGGGGACACTATCAAGTATTTCAAGTACTGCAGGGAAGTCAAGTAAGATGTGGACAAAAACATAACTATCGGATTTTGGAACAAGATGGTTGCTGGTGACCTCATAGCAACTTATTTGAAGGGGTATAGTTAAAAGCCAAGTTCTTTTTTTAATACTGTGCCCACATGCATTTTAATTATGCCATAATTTGTGCATAGCTACTGAGTCTTAAAAACAAAAGACAACTTTAGAGTTTAGAGAAGTTGGACCTTGGAAGATTTTCTTTTCTGCCTTGATGATAATAAAGATGACTTGGAGAAATTTCCTAATTTATTTTTTAATTTCAAGGAGAAAAACCAATAACTTCAACACAGTAATGGCTTTTTAATTTGTTTCATGGAGAAATTTCCTTTAGTTTAACTTTGAGCTATATCATCTTCTACTAGTACATACAGCCTTTAGTGCTACGTCTTCCACCAGAATGTGGTCGTTACCCTCAGTTTCCTGAGACCTTGATACTTAGGACTTCCCAATGACATGCTTTTTTCCTTTATTTAATTGGTTGTTAATTTTTTGGATTTGAAATTGGGACTTGTTGGATTTTGTAACTCTTTAACTTTGTAACTATAAGGTAAGTATGTTACTCTTTACTAAAGTAAAATAATTACAGGGCGTGGATGCAGTTTAGTCTGTCCTTGGAATCTTCTTAATTGTGTGGATTTCATTTTATATTTGTACCTGATTTTTGGCATACATACCGTTTTAAATAGCTATTGTATGTTTCAGACAGAGCTTGAGAATAAACTACAGCAGCAGCTAACCCAGGCATTGCGGGAACTTGCAACAGAGAAGGAGAAAATGTCAACGTTACAAAACACATATGAAAAAAGTCAGGAAAACCTAAAACAGCTTCAGTCTGATTTCTATGGGAAGGAATCTGAACTTCTTGCAACAAGGCAAGACCTTAAGGTATAGTAAACTATATTTTTTAATAAAAATCAGTAAGTTGTTTATAGACATTCATTAAATGATTGATTTCAACCCAAATGGGCAAGGGAATGCTAATATTTGTGGAATTTTGCACTTGTTTTCTATTAAATTATTATTTTTGGAGAAGCATGCATTTTAAAAATGAAATTGTCTTATAACAAAATACATGTATAAGTATATGCATTTAAAAATAACACCAGTAATAGTAAAAAGTTGGGAATTTATTAATTGCTAACATATTAGCTTATCTAGGGACTTTGCTATCTTTATGTAAAATAAAAACTTTAAAATGTCTTACAGTTAAAAAATCTAAGGAGTTTTAAATGTAAACTACTTGTGAAAATGAAAGCAGTTTATTGTTTCTTATCAGCTAATGTGACTTTAGCTTTATATATTTGTTACCTCTTAAGACTACTGGAATGCCTGATGATTAAAATTAGGAGGTTATAGCTCAAAGTAAATTTAGCATTAATAATCTAAGCATGAGAGGCCCAGTTCACAAAATTCATGCATGGGGGGAGGGAGGGTCCCCCTCAGCCCAGCCTGCACCCTCTCCAATCTGGGACATCCCTCTCACAATCCAGGACCGCTGGCTCCTAACTGATCACCTGCCTGCCTGCCTGATTGCCCCTAACTGCCCCCCCCCCCCCCGCTGGCCTGGTTGCCCCCAACTGCTTCCTCTGCTGGCCGGGTCACCCCTCACTGCCCCCCCTTCCAGCCTGGTTGCCACCAACTGCCCCTCCCCCCACCAGCCTGATCACCCCTACTGCCCCCCTCTGCTGGCCTGGTTGCCCCACACAGCCTGCTGTTCGGTCGTTTGGTCATCCCTCACTGCCCCCACTGCCCACCAGGTCGCCCCACGTAGCCTGCAGTTCGGTTGTTTGGTTGTCCCTCACTGCCCCTGCCCCCCGCCTTCCCCCTGCCGGCCTGGTCACCCCATGCAGCTTGCTGTTCAGTCATTAGTGTGAGGGTGTCCCGACCAATTTGCATATTACCCTTTTATTAGACTAGATATGGAATACTATTTGATTAGATAAAGTATCATGTTTATTAAAATGAAGGATATGGAAAAAGAGTAAATAATTTTTATGTAACATTAAGGTATCAGTTTTCTAAGGGAAATGGAACATTTATATTCTCTCATAGAAGAATAAGCCAATTCTGTCTTTCTGTTTTTTTCTTTTTTCTAAAATATAATATTTGTGTTTTGTGTTTGAATTTTTGTTTGTAATTTAAAGTGCATTATTAAAAATTCTGAAAATCATAGAGTATTTATATATGTAATGTATGTAAATATACTAGGTCTGTATTTTATTCATAGTCTGTTGCTATAGGGGAGGCTTTATGAAGGAGGTAGGACTGGACCAGGTCCTGAAGGATACATGGAATTTGAATACAGAGACTGTCTTGAGAAAGATCATTTCACTCAGGGGCATGTTTGAGAAAAGGTGCTGCAGTGGGAATGAGCAAAGCCAGGAGACAATTAACATAATTGTCTTGCTAGAATGCTGGTTTGTGTTTAGAAGCTAAGGTTAAAAAGGTTGGAATCAAACTGTAAAGTATCTTAGATGCCTTGCAAGGATGATTGGACTTTACATTTGGGGGGAAAAGAAGAGGAGTAAAATGAAGAAAATAGTTATTTAGGCAACTTGACCTGGAAGTGGTTTATAGATGGCTGGGATTGGACCTGGGGTAAACTAGTGTTAGAGAGATTAGTTAACAGGCTATCTTCCCTTCCTTCCACCACACATTCCAGTAATCAAGGTAGGAGTTGATTAGAACTAGGATTGAGGTTAAAGAGGATGGAACAGAAAGGGTTTCTGAGATAGACAAGATGAAATAGAAGGGCTCAATACATACAGTCTCTAAGGAATCAGTGGTGACTAATGATTTGACACAAAAATAGGAAATTGAGGCCTAACCGGTTTGGCTCAGTGGATAGAGTGTCGGCCTGCAGACTGAAGGGTCCCAGGTTTGATTCTGTTCAAGGGCATGTACCTTGGTTGTGGGCACATCCCCAGTAGGAGGCATGAAGGAGGCAGCTGATCGATGTTTCTCTCTCATTGATGTTTCTAACTCTCTATCCCTCTCTCTTCTTCTCTATAAAATCAATAAAATATATTTTTTTAAAAAAGGAAATTGAGTAAAATAATTTTGTAGTGTCAACAGTTAGATTATATATATTAGAGGCCCAGTGCATGAAATTCGTGCATGGGTAGGGCCCCTAGGCCTGGCTGATAATCGGGGCCAATCTGTGGGGCGACCAGCGGGGTGATCTGTGTCCCTGCTCTCACCTGCCTTGGCCTAGCACTGCCTGCTCAATGGCCCTGCCCCCGCCCCCACTGCCACAGCCGGTCAGGGCCTATGGGCTGGGGGTAGCTCCTGCATTGAGCGCCTGCCCGCTGGTAGTCAGTGCACATCATAGCTACTGGTCATTCTGCCGGTAGTTACGCCGTTCGGTCAATTTGCATATTGGGGTTTTATATACATAGATTAGTTAAATTCAAAGTTAGTAAGAGTTGTTATAAGAAAAAAAAAAAACACCTGAAACATATCCTCTCTACATAGCTTTAAATTATTATTATTATTATTATTTAAAATATAGTTTTATTGATTTCAGAGAGGAAGGGAGGGGGAGAGATGGAAACATCAGTGATGAGAGAGAATCATTGATTGGCTGTTTCCTGCACTCCCCCACTGGCAACCCGGGCATGTGCCCTTGACCGAAATCAAACCTAGGACCCTTCAGCCCACAGGCCGACATTCTATCCACTGAACCAAACTGGCTAGGGCTAAATTATTATTTTTTTAACTTTATTGATTTATTTTAGAGAGAAAGGAAGGTAGAAGGAGAGAGGAAGAGACAGATTTGTTGGTCTACCTATATATGCATTTACTGGCTGCTTCTTGTATGTGTCCTGACTGGAGCACAATCTTGACTATTGGGATGATGCTCTAACCAACTGAGCAACCCAGCCAAGGCCTATTTATGTTTTCTTTATAACACTATTGAAAATCAGGGAAGGTTTGTGGAAGAGTTTGGACTTTATTTTAAAGGTAGTAGGGAACCATTGAAAGGATTTGTTCAGATTTGTATTTAGGCCAATGACTGGCTATTGGATAAGGGATGTATTGATTATAGGGGAACATGGTGGAATGTAGAGACTAGAGAAGAGACTTTGCAGTAGTCCAGTTGCAGATGATGGTGACTTGGGCTGGTAATAGTAAGGATGGAGAATGTGGATGAATTTAAAGGGTATTTAGTTGATAGAGGAGATGAAACTTGACTGCTCATAGAAGTCCTATAGAAATCACACCCTTTTAAAAATATATGAATGTATTTTACCCATGAACATAACATAATAACAGGACTTAGATCTCTTAAATCAATATCCTTTCATTAAGCCAACAACTATTTTTATGATGCCTGAAAGCTACATCATGTACTAATATATATATATCTATACACACATACACACACATATATATTTAAATATATTTTTATTGATTTCAGATAGGAAGAGAGAGGGAGAGAGAGGTAGAAACATCAATGATAGAGAATCACTGATTGGCTGCCTCCTGCATGCCCCCTACTGGGGATTGAGCCTGCAACCCCTGGCATATGCCCTGACCAGAATCAAACTGTGACCTCCTTGCCATAGCTGGTTTTGCTCAGTGGATAGAGCATTGGCCTACGAACTAAAGGGTCTCAGGTTCAATTTGGCCAAGGGCAAATGCCTGGATTGCGGGCTCGATCCCCCTCGGTAAGGGACGTACAGGAGGCAGCCAATCAATGATTCTTTCTCATCATTAATGTTTCTGTCTATCTGTCTCCCTTTCTCTCTGAAATCAATAAAAATATATATATTAAAAAAAAACCAAAAAACACAAAACTGTGACCTTCTGGTTCATAGGTCGATGCTCAACCACTGACCCATGCCGGCTGGGCAGTACTAATATTTTTATACATAAAAGAGTCATTCAAATATAAATATGGGCAAAAAGTGAAAGGCAGAGGGCTAAGTCTGCTATAGAGTTTTACAACTATCAAGAGACCATGGATAGATGCACTATTCTAGAGCTTCCTTGTATAGATTAAGGTCTTCCTTGTGTAGACTGAGACCCGGCTTGGTTTGTGATAAGCCTACTGTTGTACAATTACAGAACCATGATTAGATCTCAGTTTTTCTGATTCATAGCCTTTTATTCTTTTATCATAATTTCACTAGAATTTTTTTAATAAAATAGAGTAGTGATGAATTCTGTATTAATGCTTCCAAAATGACAATTATCGGAATTACTTAAAGAAGTTAATTTTTTTTAAAAGAAGTAAATTCCTATGGAAATTCAAATGATATTATAGGCCAGAATAAGAGATAGTCATCAGCCATTATTTTTCTATTGCTTCAGTGGTTTTATATGATCTTGTGTATAAGAAAGAAGAGGAGAGGCTCAGAACCTTGTAACATGACACCTGTCTAAGGGAAGGCTGCCATCTGTTGGCTGAAGGTGTACACCAAGACACCAGTAGAATGGAAGATGGTGGGTTGGCCTAATCTATGCTTTTAGCCCCATCTGCTGGATTATTTATGAAATACTTAAGTTTGTCTGGATTTCAAATTGGTTGTGCTATGTGCTATTTGTTGTTGAGGAAAGGTTGAAGTGGAATTTAACTGTAAATCTCTCACCCTGATTGAAGTGAAATTCTAGGGTAAGTTCAGAATTAATATAAATCTTAGCCTAGTACTCTTCCTTGTCATTTCACCAGTCATCAAGAAAAAATAAAAAATTTTTAAAGAAAGGAGAAAATTGTTGAATGGACAAAATAGAAATAGCTATTAAAGAACACTGCAGAAATTATTCATTAGCTATCCTATATAATAAAGAGATAATATGCTAATTAGACTGAACAGCAGAACGACTGTCCAGAGGGCCGAGGCAGCTGGGGCAGCTGCAAGGGCCAAGCCCCTTGCACAAAT